GCCTCACAGACATGGCCATAGGCCAGTTCAATGGAGGAAATTCCCCAACTGAGGTTCCCTCAACCCAGGTGTGTGAAGTTGACACTAAAGCTATTCAACACAGTGGGGATATGTTATTTTTGTTTTTCATGTTATTTTTTCTCTGTGACTTTGACATGTGAATTTCTTTTGTAGTTTCTGATTCTTTTCTTGTGTGAGACTCAAGCCTTCAAGTTTAGGTCTGCTTCTTTTTGTGAACTTTATGTGACTTTGTGGTTTACTTGTTGGGCATGAAAAGCTGGTTGGTCTAGGCTTCTGGTTCTCTCTTTTGATTTTATATTGGAGTGGCCAAATTGCTTTCATCTTCAGGAGTTCCCACAGAGGCTCAAGTCAGATGAGGATCAGATGCTCTCAGGCTTTCTCCTGAGGTCTAGATCCCTCTAGGAAAGATGTTGTCTTCAGGAATTTGGGGACTGGCCTGGTCTGGGAGCAGTGCTCAGGAAAATGCTGGTCTCGGGCAGCTGGTGGCAGTGCCACTCAGGGAAGCAGAGGGAGGTGAGGGCGGGACCAGGCCCAGAGGGCTCCTGGGGACCTTGAGAAGGAACTGGGTTGGTCTGGATGCAAAGGATCAGGAAGCAGTGGTGGCTCTGAGCCAAGCAGTCAGCCCCAGTGTCTGGGGTGCCCAGACAAGAATTGGGCTAGTACCCAGGCTAGGAGGAGAGATGGGACGGGGCGGGGGAGGTGGGAGGGTGAGTGAGGCTGGGGGAGTCAAAGCACGGTAGGCACCGCTGGACTTACCTAGAAGAGAGGCTGGCAGGCTGTGCAGCCCAGGGAAGCAGAGGGAGGGGAGGGCGGGACCAGGCCCAGAGGGCTCCTGGGGACCTCAAGAAGGAACTGGGTTGGTCTGGATGCAAAGGATCAGGAAGCAGTGGTGGCTCTGAGCCAAGCAGTCAGCCCCCAGTGTGTGAGGTGCCAAGATAAGAATTGGGCCAGTATCCAGGAAAGGAGGAGAGATGGAGTGGGGGAGGTGGAAGGGTGAACGAGGCTGGGGGAGTCAATGCCACTGGACTTATCCAGGAGAGAGGCTGGTGGGTTGTGCCCCCCCCCTTTTTTGCTTGTTGAGACAGCGTCTTCCTGTAGCCCCAGCTGTCCTGGAACTCACTATGTAGTCCAGGCTGGCCTTGAACTCACAAAGATCTGCCTGCCTCTGCCTCCCAAGTGCTGGGATTAAAGGTGTGTGCCACCATGCCTGGCTCTTTGTTTCTTTGCCCAACTTCTCCCAAGATAAATACTCACCGCTCCCCAATTGTACCGAGTGCACTCACTTAACTTTTCCATCGGTGTCCTTCACTTTTTCCCCTACTTTTCAGGTCCCTGTTCCGGGTGCCACTTGCCAGTGCCAGCCGGCCAAGATGGACAGTACCTGAAAGGGGGAGTGAGGATTGAAAGAAAGAAAAAGAGACAGAAAAGATGCTTGGGAGGACTGACAGTGAATACTGCAGCCCTGGTTTATTTCAGCTCTGCCTTTTTATGCAGAAGAACTCAATTAGTTACAATAGTTTTTTTTCCCCACCTGTATCTGAGGGTCAAGGAGCAGTCAGATCAAAGCCTTCTTTGATCCTTTTGTTTACCACTATTGCCTCCAGGTCAGGTATTGTGAGGCTCTCCATAAACACCTTCCTCCTGAATGGGCAGGTTAAGTACTGGTTTGCATGACACAAACTCAGTAAACAAGGCTGCCACAGCTCAATGATTAGCAGCTCCCACACATATGGGTGTATTTCCTTCATGTAGCTAAGTACACCCATGTCGTGCAATGCCTGCAGAGGACAGAAGAGGCTGTTGGATACTCTGAAACTGGAGTTAAGACAGTTGTTAGCTACCATGTAGGTACTGGGATTTGAACCTGGGTCTTCTGCAAGAACAGTCAGTGTTCTTAACTGCAGAGCCATCTCTCCAGCCCCTAACAACCATTCTTAACTTCACTTCCAGGGAATGTGATGCCCCCTTCTGCCCTCGGTGCACATTGCACACATGGGTGCACTTACATACATTCAGGGAGAATGCTTATACATTAAAAACAAAATAAATGAATAAAAATTTAAATCACTAGCCAGGCATGGTGGCACACACCTTTAGTCCCAGCACTTGGGAGGCAGAGGCGGGCAGATCTCTGTGAGTTCAAGGCCAGCCTGGTCTACATAGTGAGTTCCAGATCAGCTGGAGCTACAGGGAGACCCTGTCTCAAAAAGACAAAAAAAAGAAAAAAAAAATCACTAAAAGAATTTGGGCTTGGGACAGAATTTCCCACAATTCCTGAAATGGCCCTATACATCCTTCTGCCATTTTGTGGTAAGCATTTATGCCAAATGGCAATTCTCGGCATGATGATTATAAAATCAAAATGGTGATCAACTCTCAAAAATCCTGAAGAAGCCCTCTGTCATGCAGCATCAAACATTCAGCCATGATTTAATTTTTTCTTTTTCTGAGACAGGTTACAGGGTCTCCCTGTAACCCCAGCTAGCCTGGAACTTGCTATGTAGACTAGGCTGGCCTCAATCTCACAGAGATCTGCCTGCCTCTGCCTCCCAAGTGCTAAGACCAAAGGTATGTGCCACCATGCCTGGCCTTCGACTGCTTTGAGACAGAGTGTTGAGTGCCACAGCTGGCCCGAAATTCTTGTCTCCATCTTCCAAGTGCTGGAGTTACAGGCCTGTGCCACCTTTGGCAAGATTTAACTTATGTGAAACTAAGCACACCCATCTCATTAACAGGTAAATTTTCTTTCGTTTTTAATGAATGGTGAAAATTTATGTACACTAAAGGATTGTTTTAATTTTTTTCTTTATGGGGCTGGAGAGATGGCTCAGTGATTAAGAGCACTGGCTATTCTTGCAGAAGACCTGAGTTCGAATCCCAGTACCCACATGATGGCTAACAATCGTCCACAACTCCATATCCAGTGGATTCAACACCCTCTTCTGACCTTTGTGGGAAAAGCATGACATAAATGCACTTACCTACACACAGGCATAACACCGTACACAAAATAAGTAAATTAAAAATTCTTTATGGTTTATTAGTGAATTTTTGATTTGTACATTTATTTCACATACCTATGGTGGTATAAAAATTTGGGTGAAAAAGGGTTATGTGTAGAACAGGTTTAAGTAGTGGCCCCCCGCCCCCCACCCCAGACCCTAAAGCTAGAAAGTCTGCCTGGAGGCAAGAACTGTTCAGAAACCATCACTGTGGTAATCTCTCTCTCTCTCTCTCTCTCTCTCTCTCTCTTTGGTCTTTTTGAGACAGGATCTCCCTGTAGCCCCAGCTGTCCTGGAACTCACTATGTAGACCAGGCTGGCCTCGAACTCACAGATATCTGCCCACCTCTGCTTCCCAGTGTTGGGATTACAGGCGTGTACCACCACGCCCAGCAGTAATCTCTTTTTATAAAAAAAATTATGTGTGTCTGTGTCTGTATATGCGCACATACGTGCAGGTGCCTGAGGAGGCCAGAAGAGAGCATTGGATCCTCTGGAGCTACAGTTACAGGTAGTTGTGAGCCACCCAATCTAGGTGCTGGGAAATGAACTGGGGTCCTTTTCAAAAACAGTAGGTGCTCTTAACCACTGCTCTGTCTCTCCAGCTCCCCAATGGGGTAATCTCAACAGCTAGAATAGCCTTTAGATGCTATAAAATCCCCTTCCAGAAGAGCAATTTATGCTTATCTCTCCTCCCTACCCTCCCTCGACCCATCATCGTTTCCTGAATACCAGGCTAGACATCAGTAGACTCTGGCAGACCCAGGCTAGACATTGGCAGATCCTGGTACATCCTGGTCAGACATCATCAGACCTTGGCAGACCCTGGCTAGACATCAACAGACACTGGCAGACCCAGGCCAGACATCATCAGACCCTGGCAGACCTGGGCCAGACATCAACAGATGCTGGTAGACCCGGGCCAGACAGATATCACCAGACCCTGGCACATCCAGGCCAGACATTGGCAGACCCTGGTGGACCCAGGTCAGACATCAACAGACCCTGGCAGACCTGGGCCAGACAGATATCACCAGACCCTGGCACATCCAAGCCAGACATTGGCAGACCCAGACCAGACAACAACAGACACTGGTAGACTTGAGCCAGTCATCACCAGACCCTGGCATATCTGGGTTAGACATCAGCAGGCCCTGGCAGACCTAGGACAGACATGAACAGATGCTGGCAGACTCGGGCCAGACAGATATCACCAGACCCTGGCACATCCAGGCCAGACATTGGCAGACCCTGGTGGACCCAGGCCAGACATCAACAGACACTGGTAGTCCTGGGGCAGACATCACCAGACCACGGCACATCCAGGTCAGACATTGGCAGACCCTGGCAGATCCCCAAGAGCCCCAGGCACTTTGACTCTGCCCTACTTAGAATCAGAAAGCCATCTCTAAGTCATTTTATTTCCAGAAATCTAAAGCCAGAGCTAAAAGCTCGGAAGTGGGTACAGCTGGGGAATAGCTGAAAGTGTTAGCAGACAAATGGGTTCTCCTCACCACCTGCAGTCCAGACATCTCCTGCCTACCTTCCTGTCAAAGCTTGAACAGCCAAGGGGACCCCGCATCTTCATTTCTGAGTAGCAATCACTGGTTTCCAGTTGTGGTTTCTTGTTTGAGATGGGGGTCTCATGTAGCCCAGGCTGGCCACAAACTTGCTGTGTGGTCAAGGATGACCTTGAACTTCTGATCTCCCTGCCTTTAACCTCCTGAGTGCTGAGAGTTTAGACATGCACTGGCACGCCTGGTTTATGTGGTGCTGGGTATTGAACCCAGGGCCTCATACATGCTAGACAGATACTCTTCCAAGGGAGCCACATTCCCAGCCAGATTTCTTGTGATCCATCTAAAGGAATGCTATCAGGGGTCTGTGCTGGCTTTTTGTTTTGTTTTAAAGAAACTCCTGGTGTACTTTTGGAATAAAATTTGGAGGAACATGCAGGAAAGGCAAGGCACGACTCACCCTGGGCTCTGGTTCCAGCTCTTCACAGTCACAGAAACACCTACAAATTTTATTTCTCAAGTTGATGCCACTATCATCGTTAAACAGAGTGAAGATGTCTTCTTCTTTAAGAGGCACCCTTACCATATTGATCTGGAAGACAGAAGGAGTCTCATGCAGGTGGGTGGAGGAGGAAAGGTGGGCAGAAGGGTGCAAGGGGTGCTTGGCAGGCAGTGGGGTAGTTACCTCTTTTAACAACTTGTGCTTTAGGTTGTACACATTGACAAACGTGATGGAGTTGCAACACTGAAAGATCTTCACCCCAGGGATGAGCACCACCTGCGAGACACAACAAGAGGGGGACCATGCCTCCCCTCTTCCCTGGAGTAAGGGTCGTTCATCTTTAGCGTCTTCTCAAGAACCTGTTCCCTAGGAGGGATGAGGACTAGAAAATTCTCTCTTCCCATTTCACCTGCTTCCATTTCTCACGGCTCTTTGTCTGGACTTCCTCTCCCCAAAGTCCACAGTGAGAGGACCCTCTGCTGGCTGCAGTAGTGTGAGGATTAGCCCCCCTCACCCCGTCCCCTGGAGCTCCACGTCCCTGTCCTCTGTGGAGCGGGATGCAGGCCCTAGGATGAAGGGCTGAAGTTAAGCTGCTGCTGCTTTAAAAGACATATGTGTGTGTGGTGTGTGCATGCGCGTTTGTGTGTGGGCACAGGTGTGTACAGGTGCACATGTACATGTATGTGTGTGGGTGGAGGCCAGCGGTTAATGTCAGGTGTCTTCCTTGATTGCTGTCTGCTTTATTTACTGAGGCTGTGTCTCTCACCGAACCCAGAACTGGATGATTCAGTAGTCTAAATAGCTTGCTGTGGGGATTCCCTGTCTCCACCTGTCAAGCGTTGAGATTACAGTGAGTGCTAAGGAGCCAAACTCCTCAGGCATGTGTGGCAAGTGCTTTATCCACCGAGCTGTCTCCTTGGCCCTGGGCTGGCTTCTTACCTCCCGATAGTCATTGATGTTTCTGTAAATGTTGGTGTTGGGGATCTGACCCAGGAGGAGGATCTTCGTTCTGAAAGGAAACGAGCTTGCCTTAGGTCACTAGACCCTTGCCTTGCCATGGCTGACCTTCTACCAGAGGCTAAGTACCTGTGTGAACGAACAGTGGCGATGAAGAAGGCAAAGACTAACGAAATAAGCAGTCCGATATCCAGTCCCAGGAAAATCGCTGAGGAGAACGTCACCATCCAAACAACCTTGTGGAGAAGGCGTGGAGGGGGAAAGGAGACTGAAAATGCAGAGCCAAGATGCTGTCAGGCCTGTCCCTCTGCCCACCTGGGTTCTGGGACCTGAGTGACAAGCACTTTACTGACTAAGCTCCAGACGGCCCCTTTCAGGGCAACTCAAAAGGCCTTGGAAGAGTTGTCTGTGTTCCTCACTCTGCCTGTGGCTGACCTCTGGCTGGTTCTTCTCCCACTGCAGGCTCCCCCTCTGGCCTTCCCTTCCTCCCCTGGGGCATCTGCACTCACACAGTCATACTGGTCCTGCCTCCACAGACTGGGTAAGTTGTAAATGGTCTCCAGGTAGGGCACCACATTGCTCAGGACAATCCCTGCCAGCACAGCCTGTGGGGAAAATGATAAAGTTTGCCTCATGTTTCCTTCAGGGAAAAATTCCCAAATCCTCACAAAAAATGTAGCCAGCCTTGCCTCTCAAAGATTTTACATAGGTATTTCTTAGGAACTCTATGTCTAAGCTACAATTCCTAGTTCAGCCAAATAAAAATTCTTCCCATTTTCCTCTATTCTCCTCAATAATTTGTCAAATGCAAGGGCCAAGCTCATGCTAAGGTCAGGCCTGACTGATTTAGCTAGGACAACTGGCAACAGGCCCCTTTAACTATTTATTTTTAATTTTTATTCATATATATGAGTGGTTTACTTGCACGTATATAAGTGCACCCATGCCCCTACAGAGCCCTCAGAGGCCAGGAAAGGGTGTTGGATCCCTTGGAACTGGAGTTACAGATGGTTGTTAGCTGCCATGTGTGTGCTGGGAACCAAACCTGGGTCCTCTGCAAGAGTAGCCAGGCTCTTAACCACTGAGCCATCTCTCCAGCCTGCCTTTTCTTTTCTTTCTTTTGAGATAACGTCTGTCAATATAGCCCAAGTTGGCTTCAAACTCTTGAACCTCCTGCCTCCGCCTTCTGAGTGCTGGATCACAGGTATGCATCACCAAGACTGACTTTAGCATCTCACCTACTTTAAGGAACATTTTCTTGTGCTCATGAAGTCCTCACACTGGGTGAACAGTGTTCAGCTTTTTCCTGGTCATCCTTTCCTCTGCCTGGGAATTAGAACTGAGCCAACCACCGAGAAAGGACAGCTTGCTCTTGTGTTGTGAGATTGTCCAGGGAGAAAGTGACCACAGCAGGGCAGAAGAGGGCAGGGCAGGATGAAGTCCCCAGAAATGCCTTCTTCCCCACCAGTCTCTCTTCTTTCATCCAAGAACTTCTAAACTTTTATCAATGTCCAGGAAGGTATGTTAGACAAAAAAAGAAACCTCAACTTCATAGGGTTTTTATAGAACTTGTTTTTTGACCTTGAGGCAAGGAGTATTAATTGGAAGCAAGTCTTATCATAAAACTATGAACAGAAAAAAATTTTCCTTCCTGAATATTCAGATAAAACATTCATTTCATAAAAAGAATTACATTCCAGGGCTGGAGAAATGGCTCAGAGGTTAAGAGCATTGACTGCTTTTGCAGAAGACCCGGGTTCGATTCCCAGCATCCACATGGTGGCTACAAACCATCCTTAACTCCATTTCCAGGGGAATCTGAAGCCCTCTTCTGACTTCTGTGGCACTGCACGACACAGGTGCACTCACAAACATGCAGGCAATATACTCATACACATAAAATAAAAATAATAAAATTTTTAAAAAAAGAATTACATTCCTACATTTTCTTTTCTTTTCTTTTGGTCTTTTTGAGACAGGGTCTCCCTGTAGCCCCAGATGGCCTGTAAATCACTATGTAGACCAGGCTGGACTTGAGCTCACAGAGACCTGCCTACCTCTGCCTCCAGAGTGTTGGGATTAAAGGAGTGTGCCAACCCACGTGACTCCTACATAATTTCTTGAGAGCTTGTTTGGAGGTTCTAGCAGGGGAGTGCAGCTATTCGTATACCCTTGACCGAAGACTGGTCCTCCTCTATTGGGGAAGGTCATCCTCTTCAACCGAGCACACAGCTTCGGGAGGGATGCACGTGGACCATTGAGGGAGGAAGGGGGCACCCGCCTAGCCAGCCAGATCAGCTGAATCAACACTGGCGATCAATGGGGTGACAGATGTCACAGCCAGATCGCCCTCACATCCTATAATTTCTTAAGAAAAAAAGTTTTGGTTTCATAGTGAGACATGCAGCCTTGAATTCATGCGTGATCTTCTTGCCTCTGCCCCCACTGGGATGACAGGTGTGTGCCACCATGCCTAGTTTACATAATTTCTACCATCAAAGAAACAACTATTATTAACATTTTGGTATGTTCTGTATATTTTTGGCATGGATCTATAGTATTGCTTAGAACCATTTGGTTACAGTTTGTAAGAAACACACTTAACATGGCCAAGGGTCAGAGGTCATGTGTCAAAAAAAAGGAAGAAGAGATAGAACCATACAGAGAAGCCACCAGCTGAACACAGAGTCAAAACTCAGCTTTCAGACTTGCTCTTCTGGCGCTGTGAATAACCAGGAGGCTGCGTGGCAGCAATTCCGGAGCTGAGTTCAAACATGGAAGGCAGAGCAAGGCCTTCCAGAAACTGTGGGAAAACAGAGGGCTGGATGCACAGAGAGAGTCCAAGCTCGAGCTGGAGATGGGTTTCGGACACCTGAGTCTACTTCAGTCACTGAATCCTCACTCCTGAACCTGAGTTTATGGCTTAAGGAGAACAACTGTAATCATGCTTCTTGACTACTTACCATGAGTGTGACATGATCATGTTTTACATGTACATACATAAATACCACATATATTATATACAGACATTGTGGCTTTATCTGATTGCATTTAACTTCCAACCCTATGATGGAGACATTATTATTATTATTAGTTTGTACATGTGTGTTGGTGTATGTACATTTGAGGTGTAGATGTTGTGAATGCATGTGGAGGTCAGAGGAGGGTGTGTGTCTTGCCCTCTCATGCTCTGCTTACTACCTCAACACAAGGTCTCTTGCTATTTTTTTCAGCTAGTCTGGCCGTTGACAAGCTTTAGGGAAGCTAATGTCTGTGCCTCCCCAGCACTGAGTACACACCACTTTGTGTGGGTGCTGGAGATCCGAAATCAGGTCCTCATGCTTGTGCAGCAAACACTCTTGCCCACTGAGTCACTTCTCCAGCCCCAGGAAGCTTTTAGTCTAGGACCAGTCCAGTGCAATTCTCTACAGAGATGCCCCACCAAGACACAACCCCAAGATTCCATTTTTCTTGATGTATTTGGTCAGTATTACTTACATTAGGCAGATCATAGAAAAAGTGGCCCACTTTCACCATCAGGAGCAGCATCACACCTGCGCCTACCAGAGATGCAAACTGAGGAGACAGAGCCGGTTGGAGAGAAACCATCAGGAACGTATTAGTCCCTGTTTTCAATGGAGGCCTTCTGCTTGGTAAGAAGTCATTTATTTCATAAAAGGATTTGGGGTTTGGCATAAATGCATTTTAGGATCTTATTGAGGTAATCAACATATAAGTAGATGCTCAATAAATGTGTGAATGCTGTCTGAGAAGTTCTCCTTTTTCCTGGGTATGAATTCTTACTGCCACAGCTCAGGACTATGAATTGGAAGTCTCCTACCATATGACTTATTAGCTGGGCATGGTGGCGCATGCCTTTAATCCCAGTACTCGGGAGGCAGGGGCAGGCAGTGAGTTCAAAGCCAGCCTGGTCCATGTAGTGAGTTCCAGGTCAGCTGGGATTCTAGGGAGACCCTGTCTCAAGACAAAACAAAACAAAACATTCCTTCAAAACTTTAGCCCTTCCTTGAGCAATTTAGATGTTCACCCAGCCCCAGCAGATTCCTCACTGACAGCTCTAAAGTTCCAAGATTCTACTTTCTGTATAAATAAATTTCCCACCTTTCTCTTTCTTGCTGGAGCTCTGACAACTTCCCACCTGATAGCTTCAGTGGAGTTTCATCTCAAGATTCATTTTATGTGTATGAGTGTTTGTCTGCATGATATATGTGTACCATATGCATGCAGTGCCCACGGCGGCCAGAAGAGGGCATCAGATTACCTAGAACTGGAGTTACAGTGTGAGCCACCATGTGGGTGGACTCAGGTCCTCTGCATGAGCAGCCAGTGCTCTTAACTGCTGAACCATCTATCCAGTCCCACTGATGTTAAAAAACACAATAGGGCTGGAAATACAGCTTGATGAGTAGAGTGCTTGCCTAGCATGTGCAAAACCCTGAGTTCAAGCACCAGCTCTGCATACATTGGGCATAATGGCACATGCTTGAGATCACAGCACTTGGGAGGTTGAAGCAGGAGGATCAGACGTCCAAGGTCATCCTCACCTACAGGGTGAGTTCAAGGTCAGCCTGGGCTACATGAGACCCTGTTCAAAACAAAACAAAACAAAGCAACAAGAAGTCTAGATGTGGCCACTCGGCCCTTCTCCGCTCTACTACTCTGCGCTGTTATTACTAAGTGCTCACTGACTCATTTAGCAAATGAAAGTGAGAAACATCATTCCCTTGGGAATCCCAAGGCTGTGTGGACAGCCTCACACTCATGGTCTCTATGTATAAGCCCCCAGTAATCCAAATAACACAAAGACGCATCATTGTCCTCTGCCATGGGGATGGGTACAACCAACCACAAATCAAAGCACGCAGATCCAGGTGAAAACCAAGGAAACCCTTCAGATCTAACCCATCTAAGGGCCATCAATATGGATTCCGTTCTCCACTTTTCCTCTTTATTTTTGACAGGGGGAAAAAAAAACCACCCTCCTGGTGGGCCTCCCTCATTACTCACGGCTACTCACATGCTGCTTTTACGCCCCATATCCATGCATCACTGAAAAGAACAGCTAATCCACCAGTGCCCACTTCCTTCCCAGCCCCAGGTGGTCCCCAGCTGGAACCAGCCGCCCAGCTCCAAACTGAACCACAAAGCAGTGTGGGAAGGAAGAACGGGGGGAAAATGGACCAAAGTGTCAGGAACTAAGGAAGCTCTGGGGTCACGGTTCACAAGCTGTAGAACTAAGCAGACTATACTAATGTGGTCAGAGGGACTTAAAGGACAGTTTTTGCCCCTTGCCCTCCAAGGACGACTAAGTTCCAGGGAACTATGGAACATCTCTCAAAATGTCCTGTAACAGCGGTGAGTCCTCTTGTTCAGGGAGGCTATGGAGACCCCATGAGATGGACTTGAACCAGTGTCCAGTCTACAAAGAGGAAGGGTCAACTCAGAGGAAATATCTCATCCATGCTTCCAAGTGAAGCCAGACATGGTCGAGCAGGACCTTTGACTTATCTTCACATAGATGGAACTGATAAAA